GCACTACATTTGCAAACACAACAACACACCGCACATCACATCTAATGCACATTACATCTCAGCCGCCAGTAATGACTTCAATGCTTCTCTCATTTCTATAATTTATAACTTTTACTCTTTTTTCTCTTTTCTTTTATTTTTATACGTTTTGTTCGTATTCTTCACTAGTGTTTCCCATTTTATCATTTATTCTGACCCGCAGTATAGGGTGTATCGGGACGGGAATATTTTATCAGTAAATTATGCGATGTAGACGAACATCACAATTTTAGTTATATTATTCATTTGGCTCACAGATAACTTAGTGAGTCTTAGAATTTCTCAAAGTTTAATAAAATGGTTTAAATTTAATAAAATAATTCAGTACAGCTACATCAATTATATTCATCACTTATCCCACAATGCAATTAATATTTAAATATTAAATTAATTAAAAGTGTTATACAGTTGTCAAAAATATTATGATGTAAGAAAACATAGTGACATTACTGGCATAAACTAATTACTTAATACAAATGCTTACCGATTACAATAAGGCTAACAACAGTATTCATGGTTCGGCCCCAACGGAAGTCCACTCGACACCTATACTCGCCCTCATCCTCGGCCCGAACCGGATCTATAGTCAGTATCGCTGGTCTGACCGTAATATTAAGTGTCGCCCGATTGGTCAGCTCATCGCTCATAGAGTGTTGACTTTGTTTATTAGGCATCTGTTGTCGGGCGTCCACTGAATATATGGGACCGCCTGTAGTGTCGCCCCTATACCACAGAATCAATGTGACCACATCGTCTATAATTGTTAATTTACCATAATTACTCAACCATGTCCATTAATGAACGTTCAAATTACCTTTTGAAGGAATACTTATATTACAGGGAAGTTGTACTCTGTCTCCGACCACTACTCTATATTCTGGATATGCTTTTGAAATAAGGAAATTATTTTTTGATTAATAATAAAATTTCGACAAATTCCATTTATATATTGATTATTTTAAAAACTTAATGCTTATGTGTTTAATAATGTCATCACAAATGTATAAATTATAATATTTTCTTAATTTATTTGTAAAATATATGACTTTACGTAATCTGTGTTTGAGTTTTTA